TGGGTTTTCTTCCTTAGCAACTAAGCATGTTATACTAGTATCATGTATACAATCTAAATCAATCAAGCATATGTTATTATGCCTAATGCCTTCAATGCTACATTTTCGGAATCTATCAAATGTATGGTACAAAACTTACTTTCAAAGATTACCTTAAATCCTTTGTCACATAGTTGACTTATGCTAAGGAGATTATGCTTTAGCCCATCAACAAGAAGCACATCCTTAATCTCCAAAGTGTTTGCACCACCTATATTTCCAATTCCAAGAATCTTTCCTTTGTTGTTGTCCCCATAAGTTACATATCCTTGTTCTTTAGCTTTGAAACTCACAAATTTCGTTTTGTCTCCGGTCATATGTTTAGAGCATCCACTATCAAGATACCACATAGACTTCTTTGATTTGGAATTTTCCTACAAAACAATAACATAGTAAACTTAGGTCCCCATAACTTTTGGGTCCTTGGGGTTAGAGACAAACAATTCATTTAACTAAAGGAACCCAAATATATTTTCCTTTAGGAACACCAAAATGTTTGATTTCACATCTATTTGAAGTATGACCATGTTTCATACAATAAAAACATGCTTTAGATGTAGCTTTTGAATATGATGCATTTCTAACAATAGATCTTCTAGTTCCTTTTTCAACCCATACTCTTCTATTTTTCATTTTAGGCTTTTTCAAAGGAACATGATGATTTACTCTATTTTGAGCTATAACAACTTTATCTTTATTATTATTACTTAATTCCTTTTCGGCTTTATCAAGCAAATGATTAAGTATATCAATGTCATATTTATACTCTTTACAAGATGCACATGTTATATTCTTATCATCATTCTCATCTATGCATATAGTTTTCGTTTCTAAGGTTTCCTTTTCCTCTAAACATGCAATTTTCGTTTTTAAGGACTCCACCTCCTTTTCGGATCTACTTAAACTCTTTTTCACAGCTTTGTATTCATTTTTCAAGTCCTTAAAGGCACTAAACAATTCATTATATGCATTTTTCAGTTCATCAAAATTATTTTCATCTTCACTTGAAGATGAGTCAGAATCACTTACCTAAAAATTGGAAGATATATTGTCATTTGCCATTAAGCAAATATTGGCTTCAATTTCCGAGTCACTTGACTCCGAACTTGAATCATTATTATCCCAAGCGATGTAGGCTTTCTTCTTGAAGAACTTTTTGCCTTTATTATCTTCATTTTTCTTGTTTGGACATTCGGTCTTCACATGTCCTGTTTCACCACAACCATAGCATTTGATATTTATGGAAGTATTTTCTCTTACCTTTCCTTTACCTTTAAATGGATGCCTTCCTTTGGCTTTCATGAATTTTGTAAACTTCTTTATCATAAGACTCAATTCTTCTTCTTCATTCTCCGAGTCTTCTTCTTCCTTTTTACTCTTACCTTTGGAAATTTCAGTTTTGAAGGCTAAGTTCCTCTTTTGATGTTGTCCTCCCTCATCATTTAGCTTTCCTAGCTCAAGCTCATGCTCTCTCAACTTTCCAAAGAGCGCCGCCATAGACATTGTGATAAGGTTTTGTGACTCCGAGATGGCCGTCACCTTAGGTTGTCATTTCCTATCCAAAGATTTCAAGATTTTAACATTTAATTCATCAACGTCAAAAATTTTACCTAACCCGGTGAGATGGTTCACAATGTGTGTGAAACGCTTTTGAACGTCAAATATCGTTTCGCCTTGTTGCATTCGGAACATCTCATATTCTTGGATTAGAGAATTTTTTCGTGCTCTCTTAACATCGTCGGTACCTTCGTGGGTCACTCTTAACATTTCTCACATTTCTTGAGCACTTTTACAAATGGAGATCCTGTAAAACTCATCAAGGGTTAAAGCAGATGAAATAATATTTTTAGCCCTAACGTCAAATTGAGCTTTTCTATTTTCCTCCGTTGTCCATCTAGAAAATGGTTTAGGAACGTCTACTCCATTTTTAAAAAATTTTGGAATATAGGGACCGTTTAAAATAGCATCCCAAACGCCTCTATCAACAGACTCTAAAAAGATTTGCATTCTAACTTTCCAGAAAGGATAATTTTGACCTGCAAAAAGTGGGGGTCTGTTGATAGACGCACCTTCGGCAAACGCTTGATTTTGTCCGGCCATTTTCGAAAAATTTGAATGACTATCAAAGCAAGCTCTGATACCACTTGTTAGAATCGCGCAGCGGAATGTTTGCGTGAACGGACAAAAACCAAGAGGGGGGGTGAATTGGTTTCTTAAAAAAATTAGGTTTTAAAACTTTTCCCCAAATTTTACCGATTAAAATGTTGTGTAAACGTAAATAGGATAAGGATAGAGTCTTACACAGAAGATTTATACTAGTTCGGATCAAAAGACCCTACGTCTAGTTGCTAATCACTCAAACAGAGGATTAACGTTGTCACTATAATCAAAGTTATACAAGCAGATTACAAATAAAAAGATAGAGTAACGAAAACACCTCTCTTGAGTCACACAAGAGATGAAGAACAGCTTTCCCTAGAGACGGCACAACACACAATCCACTAAGAACTCCACTTAGTGATTCTTATCGCTTCTAGCCCACGCCAGGTTTCAAAAGCCCCTTTTTCCTCCAACAAACAGTTCTCTGGCAATCACAACTCTCAACTTTTGTTTAAAAAAGGTTGTTCTATTTTCTGAGAGCCTTAGAGAACCTTAAGTAGATGAATTAGGGTTTGGGAATTGGGGATTTTCGAAACTTGGTGTATTGGGACTAGGGTTTTCGAAAATAGGTTTAATTTGAAGTTCAAAATGCAAATCTGACTAAAATAATTGATTATCTCAAGTGTTAATCGATTATTATAGAGCCAAAATCAACAAGAACCCTTAACGCACTGTTTTAATCGATTATTTGCCCTGTTAATCGATTAACAGACCTGTTAATCGATTAATAGGAGTGTTAATCGATTATTACAGAGAGCTGATACAAAAAATGGTTTTTCTCTCTCTAATAATCGATTATTTGGTCTTTTAATCGATTAAACCCGTGAGTTTTTTATAAAAATGAGTTTTTGAAGCTTCTAAAGAGTAGACTATGTACTGGCTATCTTAGACTCTAATATTACCGACTCAAACTCATCAAAACAGAGTTATTACACAAGAATATAAGTCTTCAACTCTCTAAGTTATTTGTTCTTGAATCATCATCAAAATCAACAAGCTTCATGTCCATGTAAGTTCAACATCAAGTCCTTGTATGTTCAACAAGTCTTGTTATTAATATATCCAGGGGGAGATTAAGAGACTCTGACACTTGATACTATACTATGCTAATCTTGAGTTGACTATATAGAATCAAACATTTTAATTCATTTCAGGTGTTTCCTTGATCATCATCAAAAAGGGGAAGATTGAAAGCAATGAGGGGGAGATTGATGGAAATGTCCCTACATTCCTGAGAGATGATTTTGATGATGATTCAAGTCAACTACATTCAAGTCAACACCATTCAAACTGAATTAAGGACAAGCTGAATTTAAGACGTTGGTGACAATGTGAAACATTTCCCTACATGCCCAATATATGTTTTTGATAAAGATGATGATTCAAGCAAGCCCAAGATGACTCCTGAAGACTAGATAGAGTCTTAGAATACTGGATATGGAGGTACAAGTTGATGAAGTAATATTATGCATAAGCCTCCAAAGCACAAGTGTGATAAAATTTCATAACATGATATTTTTCACTGTCATAATCAATTATGATGCATCAGAAATAGAAAAATGATTTTCTCTATCATAATTGATTATACTGGTAACATAATCAATTATGACAATTCAAATTTGAAAAATATATCTGTTTTAAAGAATAAATATTTTTTAATACATCTTGATTTTCTCTATGATATTATTAATGTCCAACGACCATTTTTTGATGCTATTTTTCTATTTAATTAAGTTTTCTATTCAATCAATTTTGAGAAAAAAATTTTGAGCAAGACAACAGAGATATTTTACATCTTCTGAGAAAACCCTCTTCTCTACTACCTTCTGTGCTTTCATTGTTAATCACACTTGTTCTTCGAGATTGACATTCTACAAGCTTCTAGAATTTGTTGTCTCAATTACCCAGGTGTGACTGTTCTTATCTTACTCCTTCATCCTTTGTGGGTTTAGGAAGTGTTTTCATCCCTTTGATTTGTTCAGGGAGGTGTTCATCCCTAGTGTGATTCTAGGGAGGTGTTCTTCCTTAGTGAGATTCTAAGGAGGTGTTTGTCATCCTTTGATTTGTTCAGAAGAGGTGTTCATCCCTAGTGAGATTCTAGGGAGGTGTTCATCCTTAGTGGGTTTCTAAGGAGGTGATGGTCTTTTTAATTAATTTACTTTTTATTGGTTCTTCTGCTTAATTGATTGTAATTTGTAAATTGAATTTAAAAGATAGCAAATTGAGAGTCACTCTTGTGATTAGAGTTGACTGAGAATTAGATGTAGGTTTGGCTATACCCAAACCAGTATAAATTATTGTGTGCTCTTCTCTTTCCCTTATCTCTTTCTCTTTTCCTGATTATATTATCGCTTCCTCTTTATCTGTATTTTAACAAATTATTGACTCATAAATAAAATTTTAATTTGACATCTATTTTAATTTGTGCATCTATTCACCCCCTCTAGATGCCATTTGTCTAACATGGTCTGGTCTCCTACTACTGTACTAGCTAATCCAATACATGTTTGTTCTGCAACTAAAAGTGTAGGCAAAGTGTTCCATTCTATAGATTTTATTTTTGAAAATATTTAGCAATTACAGAAGTCGTTGATTAAGAAATCTATGTCTGGTCCAACAATTATTATTTCACTCTTCATATTTTGACTCAACTCCACCATGAAAGATTTTTGCTCCGCCTTATGTATGTGCATATTTGTACTTCTAACTTCTTCATTAGAATCATGATATTTTGCATTAAAATCTCAAAAGTCCCACTTAGCTTGCCACAATTACTGGGTCATGGTTTATATTCCTGTAGATTAACTTGAAATGATTAGTTTTATGATTGGCATTGGTCTGTCAGGTAATGGGGAAATGCCAATGTCACCCTCTAACATCTTAAGGGCCTTAGCAATAGTAGGCCTTAAAGCTACCACAACATGAGCACATAGCATGCCAACAACAACAAACCTTTCCATAATTTTTTGGGGCCCTTTTCTTATTGACTCATCAAATATTTCCATCATATTTCCTGATTCCACAAGTGTCCATATCCAATTTGTCAGTGAATTTGCAGATGAATTCAAAGTATCAAGCACTTTTCTTCCACTCATGATTTCCAGAATGACCATATCATAACTATACACATCACTCTTCTCTGTTAGTTGTCCATACAGACCATACTTTGGTGCCTAATAACCATATGTTCCTGCAACCCTTGTGGTAAGATGAGACTATCTCTCACTACCTTGTTTGGCCAAACTAAAATATGTCAATTTCGCATTCATTTTGGAATCCAAAAGTATGTTGGTTGCCTTTATGTCACGATGATATATAGGGGGTTTGATTTCATAATGCAAATAAGCAAGCCCTTTAGCCACATCAATGATTATGTTCTTTCTTTGTAGCCATGTTAACCTTAAGAGACAATTGGTAATCGAGGTTGCCATTAGGCATGTAATCATAAATCCAAAACCTCCTCTTACCTATCAAATTATCACTCGTAACACAACAATCTTGAAGAGCAAGAAGATTCTTGTGCTTTATTTTGCTTATGATCTTCACTTCATAAAAGAGTTTTAGAATGAGAAAAGAATCTCTGGATTTTCACTCTAGGATTTGTCACTTTTTTTTCTTGAGAAGTAAAAGATAAATACAGTGATGATAAAAGGGCAAAGGTTGCAGCAGAAGATGTGCCCAACTTGGATTTGTCACAATGTTAGCAAAGTAGGAAAATTTTGAATAAAATAGATTGTATTTTTTTGTTGTTGTTGGGAAATATAGATTGTAAGCTTAATGAGTCTTTTGAGTAGAAAAATGGTGAAAGATATACAGTAAATGTGCTATGTATAGGAGTTTGAACGTGGTTGATACTCAGTGTGTGCGCAAACACAATTATTATTTATTTGTTTGTTTTGGAATTATGTTTCTCAAATTGTCATTTGACACTATCTACTTGACCTTGTTATATGTATAGTCATATTCATAAGCGACCAAGACATAGTAAATATATATATCAAGCTAATATAAATTCCTACTACAGGTGTATAGTAAAATTCTGCTCCACTATCTATATCATGATAGAAACATGACATCACTTTACATTACAAGCTAATTAAAATAACAAGACGGATGAATGGTTTTGACTGGTCACTATTCTTTATTTAACAACTTTTATCTCCCTCATTTTTGAATAATTTTATTTTTAAATAAATACTTCATTTTATTTATGAAGATCGTTTTTCACCAAATAGCATTTCTATATTTTTTATATGGACTGTAATATATATATATATATATATATATATATATATATATATATATATATATATATATATATATATATATATATATATAACCTGTGTTGATCACCAGTTGAAAATTTCTTTTGATTAACTTATTACTCACCTCAATCATGTTTTTATCAACAAAAATTTGAATTTAAGATCTTATTATTTAAGAATTAAATTCAATTCTATCCCAACTAATTATTAGCTGGTTGTCAATTATATATTTTGACTACATATATAACACTGATTCAAATTCTGCTAGGTTAAGATGTTTGAAGAAATCCTTAATCACACCACTTTATTATATGAAAGATAAGATTATGAATGCTTCTTTAGTACTTTATTATATATATATATATATATATATATATATATATATATATATATATATATATACTATTAAAATTAATTAAAATAATATAGACAATGTTTCTTTAATTATATTTCTGAGATTAATTTCCCTCACCTCTCCCATTTTTAATATAGACATCCATAGGAATTAGTCAAAATACAAGTTATTATGACTTGTACAAATAGTAGGAAGTCTCTAATGCTTGGTAAAAAGAGTGGTGAGTGCAAAGTAATTAGTATTAGGGATGGCAAAATGGGCTAGGCCCGGCGGACCAGCCCGCCATAATATGACGGGGCGCGGGTTGGTATTTTCAGCCCACCAGCCCGCTTTGGCCCGCCCCGCCAAGCCCGCCAACCCGTCGGGTCAACCGCGGGACGGGCGAGCCAGCCCGCAGCCCGCCTAATTAATAAAAAAATAATTTTTTATTGTAATAAAATTAATTACAAAGATAATATATAAAGTTAAAAATTTTAAAAAGAGAATTAAAAAAGTTTCATTCTCACGAGAAAATATTCTCCTTCCTAAAATATAACTTTCTCTCTTGTTCTCCTTATTTATCCTAAGCATCGATTATTTTTATCCTTATTACTTGAATTAAAGGTGTAAGAATTACTCAACCAAGAATAATATGAAGTTTTATCAAATAAAAAAGATATAGGTATTTAAAATTTTCAATATAAAAAATATAAATTTTATAAGTTTAACATTATATATATATATATATATATATTTGTTATTATTTATTATTATGTAAATTTTATTATTGATCTAAATTATAATTTCTTAAAATTTATTATTATGTAAATTTTATTATTGATCTAAATTATAATTTCTTAAAATAATGTATTGATTTATATTATTAAATTGAAATAATATATATATATATATTGAATTATTGACAAACAAATAATAATCTTATTATTAAATTTATTAAAAAAATTATTTAAAAAAACTATTTTTTTCTAAATTATGGCGGGCCAGCCACAACCCACCTTGGCGGGCGGGCCAAAACGGGCGGGCTGGCCCGTTTTGCCATCCCTAATTAGTATAGGGAAATAAATATAAAATAGTATTTTCATTATTCACTAATAAGAAAAGTGAAAAAAAATTATTTTTCATTATAAATATATATTTATTTTTCACTCTTATACGAGTAGAAAAAGTAAAACAAGTAAGAAAAATAATGTTTTTTATTAAAAAAGAATTCGTAGGTAATTATCTACGGATTACAATTCGTAGGTAATTACCCACGGATTACAATTCGTAGGCATCTACGGATTCTATTAGTAGATAATTATCCATGGATTACAATCCGTAAGTAATTATCTACGAATTTTGTTCATAGGTAATTTACCTACGGATTACAATCCGTTGTAATTACCTACGGATTCTGTTCATAGGTAATTTACCCACGGATTACAATATGTAGGTAATTACCCACAGACGACATTATCTACGGATAGTAATTTCGTAGGTAAATTGCCTATGACCATATTACCTACGGATTTCCTACGGAAAAAATTCGTAGGTAAAATGACATTACCTACGAATTTTTGTCATTACCTACATATTTTTACCGTAGATAACGAGGTTTTTTTTTGTAGTGATATAAAAAAAATAATGTTCTTATTTGAACCCTAAATTTATATTTAAAAATAAATTTATTTCTATAAATAATTTTGTTTTATCTTTTAAAATCATTAGTTTATATTTACATGTTTAAATTTTTAAAGTATTTAAATATTTATATAAAACAGATCATATTCTTATTTTAATCCTAGATTATATATTATAAAGTTAAAGTTAGTTCGTGTTATACCTATTTTTTAAAAATATTTTTTTAATTTACAATTGTTTTATTTATGGAATCTTTTATTTACTTTTTTTATTATTTAATTAATTTAAATCACATTAAATTCTTAATTAATAAATTAGAAAAAAATTATATATTGAATAAAAGTAATTTAAATAATAAAATAAGACCATTAAAATTTTCTTAATTAAAAAATATCGTTATTTATTAAGATATTTTATTTATTTTGTGTGTGTAATTAATATAGTTTATATATATTTTTTAAATTCATTTGCAATTTCTTTAAAATATAATATTTTATATATTTATTTATAATAAATATTATGATAATGGATTTATACCAGGGTTGTGGTTCCCAAAATAACATTTATCTTCTCTCCCACTAATTGAAAATTGTTCAATGTGACCAGAAAATTTTAAGCCCTCCCTCACATTTTCAATTATAGGAATTAATTATTCTCTACACAATCTCACAATTATATGAGGAAAATTTTGGCGCTTACGTACAAATTGCTTCTACAAGATAAAGTAAATCTCCATTGTAAACCTCCGTAATTAAGTCTCAATTTAAATCTCCAAAGTCATGATAATGGAAATTTCACAACCTTTGGCAACATTCTACAACTTGGTAACATAAATCTCACAATCCCGACTAGCGTCCCACGTCCCCAACCCCTAGTAAGGTCACACCACAATGAGTAACATATTTGTGTTTTTTATTTTTATCCTAGGTTATCATTATTTATTTAACATCTTTTCCATTATTATTACTCTGTATTTTTTGTAATGTTGTTTTTTTAGTGAATCATGTCCAAATATGAAGAAGATAGATTACAAAATATTAAAGAAAAATAAAGCAAAATTAGAAGCTTTGGGATTGATACATAGTGCTTATCCTTTGAAAATCATACAAACTTAAGATATATATATATATATATATATATATATATATATATATATATATATATATATAAAGGAAGGATAAAGAAAAACTTGAAGAGGATGATGAAAAATATAAACCCATAAATATAAGAAATGTTCAAGCTTTAGAAGAAGATGAGATGAATGATGAAACAAATGTAAGTATTATTTCTCTTTCTCTTATGTATTTGATTAATATTTTTTTAATGTCTTATTATTATTTTAATCATTAACTCTTTTGGTTTATAGATAATAATGCCATTCAAATTAATTCTTCAAGATTTGGATTATTGAACTTGAGGCAATGACCTTTTTAGAATTTAATTTGAATGACCTTATTATTTATAAAACAAAAGAGTTAATGATTAACATGATAATAAAATATTACAAAAATATTAATCAAATACATAAGAGTAAGAAAAACAGTACTTACATTTATTTTATCATCTGCTTCATCTTCTGAAGCTTGAACGTTTCTCATATTTTTTTATTTATATTTTTCATCATCCTCTTTAAGTTTTTCTTTATCCTTTCTTTTTTTATATATGTTTTGAGTTTGTTTGACTTTCAAAGGGTAAGCATTATGTGTCAATCCCAAAACCTTTAATTTTGCTTTGTTTTCTTTAATATTTTGTAATCTCTTCTTCATATTTGGACATAGTTCATTCTACATAAAGAAAATTGCAAAAAAATACAGTGTGCGGTGGAACGTTAATAGGGGCTGAGACTGTGAGATTTACGTTACCAAGGTTGTGAAAAGTTGTCCAAGGGTTGAGATTTCCATTAGAATGACTTTGGAGATTTAAATTGAGATTTGGTTATAGAGGTTTATAGTGAAGATTTAATTTATCTTGTAAAAACAATTTGTGAATGCCAAAATTTCTCCCGTATAAGTGTGAAATTGTGTAGAGAAGAATTAATCGTGAGTGAAGATTTACTTTATCTTAGCAATTTGTGAGTATCAAAGTTTCCCTCCCTATAACTTAAAATGTGAGCTTTTTTTTTTTTTTTTTTTTTTCATCACGTTAACATTTATCAATTAGCAGGAGAGAAGATAAATATTATGTTAGGAACTACAACC